GGGGGGGGGGGGGGGGGTTACCTCTGGGTTAGAAAAAGAAAGGAAGATAGGCTAGAACACCTTCACCCAGCTATCTCTTGCATGTTATGAAGTGAACACTTCATAATAATGCCATCATTGGAAAGATGGAATAATGGAATAATTGGAATAATGCCATCATTGGAAAGCAGACCTAAGATATTGACCATATTAATAGTCTGCCTTTAAATTGATGTAAGTATGGAGATCTTTATGTGACAACTGTTCTTCCAATACATGATACCTTATTTTTTGATGTAGTATTATATGAAATCCTTTTTCATAGTCTCTCTTCATGTAAGCTAATTAGAACAAGGAAAAGCAAGAACAAGAAATGAATGAGAGTTGGAAGATACCCAATTAAACACTGAAAGATGATAACGCAACCAGCTCTCTTCTAACCCACAAACAGGAAGTTAATTTGTAATATGCTAATTAGATTGAAAGTAATCATCTTGTGATCTTAAATAAGATTATGAGCTTGTGTACATGTAAAAAACTTGAATTCTTGCTTGGTAGCTTGGGAACTGAAACAGAATACACCCTTCAAATATGTCTTTATAATTAAATAGCTGCTTTTCTGTACTAAAAAAGGAGATGTATCAACTCTTTTAGTTATCCTAAAATGTAACATTGCCACCCAAGCAGTTGTTTTGCTGATTGCTAGCTTAATGTTCTCACATTTTATTCCAGGTTTTCAAACCCTGGACCATGAAGATCAAATTGCTTTGTTAAAGGGTTCAGCAGTAGAAGCTATGTTCCTTCGATCAGCTGAAATCTTTAACAGGAAACTTCCTAGAGGACATGCTGATCTCTTAGAAGAAAGAATTCGCAACAGTGGTAGGTGTCATTAATTAATAGCAAAAGAAGACTCACTATTCTTTGAAATGTTTAGCAAAAAAAATCATAGTCCTTTTGTGAATGTCAGGCTTCTCAGCATTCAGTAGATAGTCAGCCTTGAGTTCAAGATTATCAAGGAAATGCTGAATTATAAAAATACACATACTGAAAACAAATTTGTCCCTTTACAGTCAGCTATATTTGGGGATGTAGAAAAAGTTAAATAATGATATGTCATTTCTATCTCATTAATTCCAGTAAAACAATCTCACCACCCAAATGCATGGCAATGACAAAACAAGCTCTATAATTGCTAAGTACTAATTGAGTGGAGAAACTGAGATTATTAGTTCATCTACAATAAATTAGGTCATGATTGATGTGTATGAAATTCACTGTATGTTTGGTTTCACAAGATAGACCAGTATTAATCATTTTACAGCATCTTTCTGTGTACAAAATGCAATTTCATTATCATTTACAATTCGGTTACAGAATAAATTAGTATCTCACCCTTCCTAACTTATTAGCATTGAAACCCACTGTCCATGCTCAAAAGCCTGGGAAAAATCCAATGCTCTTGATAATTTCATATTTGGAAAGCACACATTCAAGAGCCAAAATGGATGATTGCAGTGGGAGATAATGGAAAATTCTTGCTGCTTTTTAAAAAGATGCTCTAAGCATGAATGGAGGTATAAGATAAAAATCCAGAAGTTAGGCTGCAATTCTATACCCATTTTTTGGGGAATAAGTTCTATTAAGCTCAGTGGCCTTATTTCTGACTCTAAGAAATACAGCTCTGTGTTAGCAACTATACTATTAGATATATTCCCAAGAATTAATAAAGTATAGGGCATTGCTATCCAACAGTTTTAGTAAAATTGTTTTTTCTGTTAATGTATCATATATCTTGTTGGCTGGTGTGGGTCTTCTGGGCTGTGTGGCTGTGTTCTTGAAGTTTTGTTTCCTAACATTTTGCCAGCACCTGT